GGGCTTTGGGTTGAGGGTTTGGGGCTTAGGGTTGAGGATTTGGGGCTTTGGGTTGAGGGTTTGGGGCTTAGGGTTTAGGGTTTGGGGCTTAGGGTTGAGGGTTTGGGGCTTAGGGTTTAGGGTTAAGGGGTTTGGTGCATAGAATTTAGGGTGTAGGGTCATATATGGATATATATATATATATATAGACGGCTATATAGGGATGATAGAAAAGACACAGGAAACTACTATCTAGGATGTAGGGCTCATGTTTTGAAGGTTCAGGGCATGGTTTAGAGATTCAGGTTTAGGGTTCATGATTTGCTCTTAGCGGTAGCTTTCCAGCTGCACAGCTGGCTCCTCAAGTGGCATCTGTGATCCGCGATGTTGGGGGATGAGAAAGCGTTTGCCTGAGAGCACAGCTCGCTTGACTTGCATCTGCACCCGAAGTTGTCCTATGGTTCTGTCGCGGGGAGTAAAGCTGTAGCGACCCCCCCTTATGATGCCCCTGCGCCAGTCGGTCTTCTGCGCTGATTTCTGGCCGCTGAATGCTCCAACTTAGGAGCGTGGTCTTCAAGGAGTGCAAAGTCCAATTCAAGGGAGGAAGCTTTGCTGGGATCAATTTCCAAGGGAGCTGAAGTGCACTACGGAGCATTTTTAGTGCAAGGGGGTAGTCCGATCCAATAAGAGGCATGGCCACTTCACCCATAGAATCAACCGCAAGAAAGAGGCTGCTTGGCAAAGGGATCTCGGGATAGGCTTGCTGGTAAGATCCTCAGACCCAGAGCAGGGTTCGGGGTCAGTGATTTCCGTGAAATCCATCAGGTGGGTTGCAACGCATCTTCAAGTGCCATGCTTGTACAATGTTTGTTGGGATCCCCTGATTTCCTCTTTCTATCAAAATCGCATACCCAGAGACAAACGGGAAGCTTGCCCGTTGACACTATTTCAGGCGATGCAGTTAGAACGGCGTATTCTCATGGCACAGGCCACTACGGCAGAAATCATGCTGCTGGGATCCATACTGGTCTTTGTATGGGCCTCTTTACGATTCTCCGATGGTCAGTGTGTAGAATTGTCCTCACTGCAATTTGACGGGGCATGTCTTTGGGGCGTTTGCTATGCAACAAAAAACTTGTAATCAAGGCGTCCCTTTTGCGGTCTTGGCATCTGGCTTTCTTAGTTAAGTGGTGATGGGGCTAATGCAGGGAAATATGGGACTTGGAGGAATTGTAACCAAATCAGGACTGTAAGTGTAACCCAAGTTTATGGCAGCTTGCAAGATTGCAAGTACAGTTGTAATTGGGTCCTACTTAGCCTGAACCTCCAGATATGGTAGGATGTCACACTGACGCTGCCTTTTGAGGGATTCTATGCAGAATGGCTCATAGTATAATGGGGACCGCAAAAGCATTTCAATTGGGCAAGCCGACCGTACTTGTTTGAAATTTACATGTTTGTGATTGAGGGTCTTCGGGGATAAAGTCCTGGGGTTCGGGCTTAAGATTAAGTGACCTAGCTTTTGGTTGATGGTTGTCTGCTTTACCCTAAATCCTAAACCATCAATACTAAACCCCAAACCCTAAACAGTTCGGGCTTAGGGCGTAGGCCCTCAAGCGAGATGGTACTTACACCAGCAAGGGCCGTGGGCATTTAATCCCCTCCCCCTAATATTAACCCCCCGGCCCCCCCGTAATATTGAATACTCCATTGTGGTATTTTATAACATATCGGGAATATTTGATATTAGGGTGGGGGCTGCGGGGAAGGTTAATATGACTAAGCTGTATTTGTGCACTAGGGCACAACTCCCTCCAACATAAGAGACAGGCATCAGAGACTAGGTCAACCGGACATTTACCTCAAACCAGCAGAGGTGGGTCCTAGGACCCAAATTTTGGGCTTTAGGGTTTTAGGGTTAAGGGTCCAAGGACCCAAATACAAGGGCTTTAGGGCCCAAATACTATAATATTAACGGTATTTGGGCCCTAAACCCTATTATTTGGATCCTTGGACCGGGTGATAGGGACCTGAAGATGAAGATCCGACATGATGCCTTCAACACCATATCCCTGCCCTCGAGCCTCAACAAATCCAGTACTCCGTAGCAAAGAAACTCTGAAGATGTCTAGTTGGCCCTATACGCCAGAAATTCGCGTTTACGTAAGGGCCTCGTCAAAACTGGTTTAGCGTTTCCGGGAAGATGTGTTGACATGCATCTCTAAACTAGTTCTCCACCTCAAAGCCCTACAGTAAACCCTGCACACTGCACCCTAACCTTAAATCCTAAACCCAAAGCCCTGAATCCCCCTTAGGGTCCAAGTACCTAATAATCATATACTTACCCAAACCCTATACTACAATTACTATTACCCAAATCCCGAGTACCTATTTATTGGGTACATGGACCCTTAGGGTCCTATACCCTTCACTTGTTGGGCACCTGAGCCTCTTGAGTAGACCTGAAGCCCTACTTCTAAACCGCACACCTTAAACCTCAACACCCTTAAGCGCGGGCCCTACACCAGAAGCGCTAAACCCTAAACACCTAAAAGCTAAAAAACTCATCTACCTGAGCCCCAAAAGTATTTAGAGTAACAGCCTTCTGGGCTGTGTTTAGGGGTTTTGATGGGTTATTATGTTACCTACTGAACCAGAATTCCACCCAAACCTTAAACCCCAAACCCTAAACCCTAAACCCCAAACCCTAAACCTTAAAGCTAAACCCTAAACCCTTAAACCCTAAACCCTTAAAGCCTAAACCCTAAACGCTAAACCCCAAACCCTAAACCCCTAAAGCCTAAACCCGAAACTCCAAATTTCAACCAGGGAGGCCTGGCCCGACGCCGCATGGCGAGGCTTGACAACCTGAGGCGGTTTAGGGGTTTAGGGTTTGGGGTTTGGGGGTTTAGGGCCAGGGGTTACAGGGGCATAGGGTTTAGGGATGTTTAGGGGTTTAGGGGGTTAGGGGTGTAGGGTTTAGGGTGGGGTGTGTTCTCAAAAAGGAACGGGCGTTAAGAGTCCACCTTGCCACTATGGAACACACCTTTCTAGGTTCATGTTTTTCATCTTGGTGCGTATAATATGTAAAATATATATATATATATGTATACGAGAGTGTCCCTAAATTAGGGGTACCATTGTGGGGTCCGAATAAAGAAGGATTCATATCTTCCGGGGTCTATATTCTGGTCTCCCTATTTCGGGAAACTGCCATCTATATGTCTAAACATGACATCAAGGTGTTCGGAGCTTCAGGGTCTATACGGGTTTAGGGTTTAGGGGTCCAGGGCTTCAGGGTTTAGAGTTTAGGGGTTCAGGGTTTAGGCTTAGAGAATGACGAGCAAATAGGCTATTCCGGCTGCGTACAAGATTTTGCCAAAGCTGAGATTTTTCGGGATGCCACCACCTGGTGTTCAAAAGTAAGGAAGACAGTCAGGTTAAGGGACTAAGGGTGGTCTTCAAAACTGTCCATCCCTGTTGGTCCAAGCACCCAAATATCTACTTAGGTACTTGGACACCCAGGCATGCGTCAGATGTACAGCAACATACACCATGGGGTAGTCGGAGCCGCTGGGCACTACTCGCTCCCTAAACCCTAAACCCGAAACCCCTAGGCCCTAAACCCCTAAACCCCCAAACCCTAAACCCTAAACCCTAAATCCTAAACCGCGTGACTGCGGTCTCGCCCATGGCCAGCAGGGAGCCCGCCGCGTCGATGGCCTGCAACTGCTGACGTTAGAAATCATATGAGAGGCCTTGAAGTTAAAGCCGGTTACAGGGATACGCATGTCTGTATGTATGTATATATATATACACATATGTATTCATTGTGCATACATAATACGGACCCTGGGGATAGAACAATAAGTATTCCCAGAAGAGTTTACAGCGCAGAAGCCCTTCCTCAGCTTTCCGCGCTCTACTGGTGTTGAAGAGGCAGTAATAATGCATGGAATAGACCTACAAAAATGAGCGATGATCTAAGGGGTGAAGTGGATTGGAAGACTGACCGAGGCAGTAGCCTGGCCTGACTAACAACGGGCGTCACCTCCGGCCCGAAGGCTTAAGGTGCCAGTCCAAGCCAGCAACACAGACAAGAGCAACAACAACGAGCCAACAACGGATGGGACGGACAAACGAGCAGCCACAAAAAAAGTGAGCTGCGAAACTGTGCATGGATACTTACACAAGGAATCTTGAACTAGCATGTTTGCTGTTTCTTCAGGCCCTGTATCAATCCTTGACACTCCCGCAAGCCAACATGGACACCAACAGAATCGATGCCCTTTATAGGGATTGTAGCCTTTCCAGGGCGCCATGTCGGGCTTTCGTGTTGGTTTACGGGAAGGTAAACCCCACACTACCCTGATCCCTAAACCCAAAACCCTAAACCCTAAACCCTCTCTACCTATACAAATTCATTTTTTTGAAGGACCGTTGTTTTATTTGGTCCTTTTAGGGTTTGGGTGTTGGATTGGGGGTGTGGGCTTTGGAGGCCCCTAGAGGCCCTTGGAGGCCCCTGGTGGCGGAATTCGCCTGGAGTTTCCTGGAATGGAGGCCTGTGTCCAGGCCCTGGAACCTCAGAACTGGATGCTCCAGCGACTGGAGGCTGGACCCCCTACAGCCCGTCCCTGCAGGCCTCTGAGGCTCCTGTAGGGCCCTGGAGGCATTGAAGAAAATAATATCGATTCATAAACAGGATGGCAAGTATAAGTTTGCTTTCAATTCAGACAAGAAATTACTGGGCCTGAAGGATGTTAGGACATTTCTGGAGGCTCTGGGAAAGGGGATGTTCAATGTTTGCAGCAAACAATAATGTAGGATATGGGCACGAGCAGCTGGCGAGCGAAGGAAGAAAGGCAGGTGATAATGTTAAATGAATAAGGATTCTGGGAGTGGGGGGTGATACCAAACACGTGCAGTGATATAAGAAGCCTTGATGGCTTCCAGCTCTAGCTATCGTGAACCCTAAATTCTAAACCCTAATCCCTATAAACCCTATAACC